TTAACTGAAAGTCTAAAACCAGATCCTGTCTTGTACCTTCCATAATTTTTCTCCCACTTAGTTATCATAGAACTGAGTGCAGCATCCAACATCTAGTTATTACTGCACTGAAACATTTTAGATGTTTAGACTGACTATGAAGCCTCACAAGGCTGTATCTCATCATTATAAGAGAGCACCTGAAATAGATTTTGTTTTAAGAAAATGTTTTTCCAGTATTCTGAATAGTTAGCTATTAGCAAGAAAAATTATCATTCAGCAACCCATGAGAACACTTCCTTTTATTCGTTCTTGGATCCTCAGAAAATAAACTTTGTTTTTTTATTAAATATTCTGAGTGGACACAGAGTAAGACAAACTATTTGCCAACAATATCTGCAAATGAGAAATGCAAATTAGAACTGTGACATTGTTGACTTCATAAAGCTGTGATCTGAGGGCTCAGGAAGTGTAGACAGACATAGGAAAGCAGCTTGCTTTAGTTTGCTGTGGGTTGGTTCAAAGCAGGAAAACAAGCAGCTTCCTAAATTACCTATGGGTTTTGCAAATTCTTCAGTTCTGTGAGGAGCTGGGGAGTGTGTTTTGCAAAATGGTCAATAATGAGGTTTTTTTTTGGAAGATTTTTGCAAACTCCATCAGTATTCTAAGTTTCCCCCAATAGCTTCTTGTGTTCAATGTCAACTTCTTTTACATTTTACTTGAGTCATTTAATGGTTTTGATGCAGGAAAAAATGAAATAGATTTGCATTTCTGGGAGAGATATGCCTACTGCTCACTTTTGAATATGCATAATATTTTAAACTAATTTAAGAGTATCCTTTTGGTTTCAGGAAAGTGTTCATTGAAATTTATGGCCGCACCTGTTGACAAATGACCTCACTGACACTTGACACTTGGTGTCTTGTTAGTAACAGAGTGTGGCACTTAGGATTCCTAGCTCTGGGAGTGTGTATTTGTGAGCTACTTAGTTGAGGCTATCCCAGGAGGTAACTTGGTAAGAACTTACAAGTGTTGCTAACCTGTGGCAAGTCTGTTAATTTGTCCCAAACATAGATAGGGCTTGCTTTCTCTGTATGTTACGATATTCTAGAGGTGGCCACACTGTCTCGATATTCTTAGTTAAGAAGTCAAAATCATTTACTGTTTGCACCGAGTCCCATGAGTCTCTGAGGTGGTAGCTTCTTTACTACAGCACATTCTTTACTCCTTTTTCTACTGTATGCATGCCTTTGAAGCATTTTTAAAATGTGCTAGTCAGAGCATTGAATGTTTGTTTATTGCTACGTAAAAAATGACCTCAAAACTTAGCTTAAAACAACAAGCTTATTATCTCACCAGGGACGAGAAGGTTTCTGATGGTCAGGAATCTAGGACATTGACTCAGTGTCTGTCACAGACACTGTCATGCTGTGACTTGGGGCTGTCACCACTTGAAGCATGGCTAGAATTTTGGAGGAGTTACTTGTAGACTCACTTGGCTGTAGCAGGAGGGGCTTCACTTCTCAGTGTCAGTGCATGGGCCTCTCCACGAGACTGCTCACCACGTTACTTCTTCAGAGCCAGTGATTCAAGAGTGAGGGAGAGAGCGACTTCACCTCCAAAGTGACATGCCATCACTAGTACCAAATGGGTCACATAGGCCAACCCTGGTGTGATGTGGGAGCTAGAGAATAGACTGTGAATACCGCATAGGAGCTCTGGGGTCTCTTGTGGGGGCGGCTACCCCACTGATCAACTACTTGGTTAAAGTGGTGGGTCTCTTGAGATACTATCCCTTTTTTAGTTGTGAGAGCCAGGAGAAGTTACATAATCTTCTGGGGCCTCATTTTGTTATCTACAAATGAGGAATTTGGATAAACTCTGAGCCTTCTTCCCCTTTGAAATTCTGTGGTTCCATTTGCAGCAAAAGTGAACTTACCATCTACAGAAGAGCCAGTCACAGATTCTTTGCAATGTTTAACTTAGAGTGCAAATAATTAGGATGATTATTTTTCCCAACTGGAACTAGACTAAGTCAGTAGTTAAGTCTGTATTACTCCAACTTATCCAGTTTGGGATAAGGCAACAAAGACAACACTCCATTATTTTATCTTGAATGGGACAAGATGTATGAACAGCTTCAGTTTCATTTTTGCTTGATTCTACAGGTAGTCTTGAATCTGTAATTCAGTTTGAGCTCTGAGTATTTGAGGATTTAAGTTTTAAAGCAAAGGTGACCACCAGGAGGTGTTGCGTGAGCACAGTGTTCTCTGCCTCTAGCTATGCTCTCAGGGGAGCAGCTTACCTTGAGGGTGAGGCCAAACCTCAGTCTGCTTTGAGTTATTTGTGGATTAGTTGTTAATATGACTTGGCCACTTTGAACTTTCATCAGTGGCATCATCAAATTTTAGTGTTAGTAGAAAAAGGAACCTTGGAGTCCAGCCCCTCAGGAGAATGAATAGCTCAGCCTGTACTCTCACAGACAGCTGCCACCCTGGAGCTGTGAGCAACTAACTGATCTCTACACCCCATCAGCTCCCACCCGCCATCTTACTTTTCCCTCTAGCAATTTATGTAGCCATGCCAGACTGAATCAAAATTTTATGAAGCCATGCCAGACTGAATCAAAACTTTATGAAGGTGTAATAAAAATTAAAAGAAATAAAAACCAAAAGAAATACAAAATGCATTTGAATTGAGTATATGAGTGGTTTCATTTTCCATGCTGACCTTGAAAAGCCTGGTGTCCTAATCTTTTCCTTCTTTCCTGCAGTCGGCTAAGGCCAGCTCTCATCTCATTTAACACACCTCAGAAGTGTTGGTTGGTGTTGGCCCCAGGACTGTTTTTTTTTTTTTTTTTGATGGCCAAAATCATCCAGTGTTGTTATGATTCCAGTCATGTGCAGAAAGCAGGTATTTTATAAATCACTTCAAGGAAGTTCACCAAAAATGACTTTGACAATTATCTTAGATCAGCAAGGAAGAAAAAAAATTAAATAAATAATGAATAAATAAATAAATAAAGCTTTCAGTTAGCTGGTGGGTGAGGTACAGCTCAGATTTGAGGGTGTCCTGGATTTGCAAAGTGAAGATTGAGGGCATTAGCCCTGCCCACTCCTGGAAGTGACCTCTATGCCCTAATGCCAGTGTTTGAAGTCACGGTATCTCATTTTTTCTCTTCCCAGCTCTATTCCCATCCTATCATTCCTATGTTCCTAATAGTCATTTTGGTAAATATTTTTAAAATACTACTTTCCTAAAAATCATGTTGCATTTCCCAGGTCAGCTGTTTTATAGATGCAAGTCTAAGAATGAGCAGGTTTGATACATTTCCTGGCCAGCAGAGGGTGGACTTGTTCCAAAAGACGACTGCTTAAGGCTTCCCTAGGATTATGTTTATCAAAGGGTTGGTTGGTTTGTTTGTTTTGGGTAGTACTTGGGTTTGAACTAAGGCAAGTGCTCTGCCACTTGAGCCATGGCCCCCAGCACTCTTTTTGCTTTAGTTATTTTTTGAGCCATACCTCCATCCCTTTTTGCTCTGGAGATTTTGGAAATAACATTTTGCTTCTTTTTTACCCAGACTGGCTTGGACTGTGATCCTCCTATTTTATGTTTCCCACTGCAGCCAGGATAACATGCATGCACCACTGCACCCAGCTATTGGTTGAGGTGGGGTCTCAGTAACTTTTTTTCTTCCTGGCTGGCCTTGAACTGTGATCCTCCCAATCTCAGCCTCCCAAGTAGCTAGGATTAAAGGTGCGAGCCACCAGTGCCCATAGTTGGTTTCAACTGTTCCTGAGATTGCCTCTCAAATCAGCATTTCAACTCTAATAACTTGTCTTTACTGAAATCTAGAAAATACTTTCCCCTCACCCCATCTACTGAAAACTCAAGCTGTATGAAGATTTTCATTGCAGATTTCAGTCTCCATTTAGGTCCAATTCCAAATTGAAAATGCTAAAAAAAAAAAAAAAAAAAGAATCTGTGACTGGTCCTTTGGTGGAACAACGGCAAGTAAATATTGGTTTTAACTGAGTGAGTCAACTATTCCAGCAATGCTGATGTATCTTTAGAAAGAAGGGAAGTGCATTATCGGGCACCATATATTCTAGCTAAACGGCACTGTGGAGGAAGTGTTTGGTCCTCAACACACATCTACACAGAAGGCCCAGCTTCATTCCCCAGCAGGACCACAGTCAGGAAGAGAACTGACTCCGTTCCTCTTGGCCTATTGTACAGCATCTCGCTCTTGGAGTAAACAGTTATTAATGCATTCTGCTTTCATCCAAACACAAATGACGGTCAGTGTTTAAAAAGACAAAAAAAAAAAATGAAAAACATCTGCTACTGTTTCCACAATTTGTCCCTTGAAAGATCTGAAAAAATGTCAAAGTAAGATTTTTTTCAACTACTGGAAGTCTGAATTCTAACATGTAAGGAAAATGCTGACTCACACATGACTAAGTTGAAGGTTTCAGGGAAGACTAAACATTTATTTAGAAGTTACAGTGTTTGTTTTTACAGAGATATGTTGCCAGAGAGTATTGATTCTGGAAGGTCTGTTAATGCTTATAGTGCTGTACACATCTCAGTCTGTTCTCAGGGCATCTCAGGAAGCATGCCCGATGTCACCAGATCCAGCCATCTTCAGGGGTGTCTCCAGTCTGTGATAGTGTGGCCATTGCATTCCCTGTGGTCTTCATGAACAGTGTCCTAGGACCCTTACTTCCACAAGCACGCCTTGGGCCTCCGACAGCTACAGGTTCTGTGAGGTGAGGCATCTGTGTCCCGCCAGTCTGTCTTACTCTTTCCTGGCTGACTCCTGTTAACACTGGGGCTTGTTTTCTCCCTTGTACTTCAAAAGGGAGAATTCCTTATGTCTCTCCAGAATGACAAAAACACATATACATTTATTTACAAGTGCATAAATATATAAATATGGCTATAATAGAAAAATAAATACCAATTTTCTCTCTTTTAAAAAAAACAATATATAGTCTTTCTGGCATATTGGCTTCTGTCTAAATTGTGGGAGGTGGTGTTTCAAAAGACACATGCACCGCTGGGCTGGGGGAGAGCTGCATCCTAGGTTCCTGTCCTATGTAGGACCCCGAGGGGTCTTGAGGATACCAGTCTCCTCCACCCACTTGGCAGGAGTCAGGACTGTCCACCTCTTCAACTGGTACAAGGCCCAAGCAGCATGGGGGCCCTGAGAGAGAAGAGAGACAGAGAGAGAGAGAGGGAGAGAGAGAGAGAGAGAGAGAGAGAGAGAGAGAGAGAGAGAGAGAGAGGGAGAGAGAGGGAGAGAGAGATAGGGAGAGAGAAAGAGACGTTAAAATCCAGACTGGCCAAGAGGTCCCAGCCAGCCCTTACCTATGGCGGGAACCAGTCACCAGCCCTGAAGGAGGGACAAGGCATTTGTGCTCCCTCCAAGGTCTCTCATCAATGCAGGGAGGTCCCCTTACTATCTAAGTTCCACCTGTGCTGGGACCTGGGACTGTAGACTCTCAAGCATTTCACTTGTGCCCTGGGACAGATGACCTCAGTGAGGTCCATGGAATGCCCAAGGAGGCCTCTGGTCCACTTCACAGCCCACTCTCCCCAGGACATGAAACCTAGTCCAGTTTTCATGAGGCTGGGTCTAGCTCTAGGAGGTGACTTTTAGAATTTCATATAACAGAGATGGTGTTTGGAATTTAAAGAGATGTGCACACCACAGCAGCTAAGAAACACTGGCCAGTCCTCTGAAGAAGCCTGTTGCCCCACCCAGGCCCCCATGGATTTCCATAAGACAGGCGCAGAGAGAGATGTAGGATAGGGCAGCACAAATGGCCTTGAGCTCCTTGGAGAAAAACATTTTGTGGAGGCACAAAGAGTTATGATGATGATGTTTGTAAGAACTTGGCTCACTGATGACTGATGCAACTTACTCCTTAATGAAGAGACAAGACCCAACAAAGCAAGGGATTAGAGATTCATTAGCGTGATGAGAGGCAAAAAGAATTTGTCAATGGCCTTGAAATGCCTCTGAAATGGAGAATGTCTTCCTTAGCCTTTGAGGACCACAGACTGCAATGTTGGAGGAGCCTGGTACACCCCAGAGGTCTCCTGGGCCTTCAGCAGTGAAGGAAACTGGTCATCCTCCTTAAGTCCCAACACCACCTTGAGTCTGTTGTCTCCCCTTCCTCCAAGCTGCTACTGAGTTAGGGGTATCTCCCCGAGGTCATCCCCAACCTCTATGATTTCTCTACCCTGCCTCCGGCTGACCTGTGTGAAACGGAGGGTCCCATGTAGCTTCCAGGCCAGGACTCTCTTGTGTTCTCCTCACTCCTGCCTGGCACACGGTGGTAGGTGGCTCCTGCAGGTGGCAGCAGTCTTGGGGCTGGAGCAGCTGGTGAGTCGAGTCATCAGGTAGTGTGTATAAGAAAGATTCCTCATCTGGGCTAGGATGGGGACCCCTGCATGACACAAGACCAGAGAGGGGAGATGAGGCAGGGGCAGTGTGGGCCTGGACTCCCTGCCCCTGGCAGCTTCCCTGAGGAAGCTTCCCTGAGGATTGCTTGTCTTTGAACATCAAGAGGTGCCACACCATTGCTCCCTAGTCCAGTTCCATTTTATTCCATGTAAGAGGATGTGAACCAGGTGTCCAGGGGACTGTGGCAAATCCAGTTGTATCTCAGGGTTTCTGTGTTACCCAGTGAGGGAAGGATTTCAAGAAGCAACCCATGCTCCCAGACAAAAAAGCACTTTGTAACTGCAAACACAGCTAGCCCTAGGGTAATGCCCCACAGAGAGCAGTGTTGACAGATTTGAGAAGTTTTGAGTGCAGCTCTGGGTGACAGTTCATGGATATGAGGATCTGAGACTTGGAAATGGAAGGATGAGGGAGGGCCTGGTTACCTGGTAACCTGGTGGCTCTGGGAGTCATATCCACTGCCAAGAATGGTCTGTCTCAGCAGGCTGTTGGTGTCATCCTGCTGCTCGAAGGAAAGAGTTAAGAAAAAGGTCATGTCAGGGGTTCAGAGAACTTTCTAAAAGCTCACTGTTCAGTAGGATGAGCTGTTGCTGACTAAAGTTTGCCCAGCAAACTGGGATGGGAGCTGAAGGGAGAAGCCCCAAGAGGCAGCTCCACTGCTCCTTCCTTGTCCCACACCTGCCCCTCCAACTTCCCCAGAAGCACATTACCTGCAGAAGCTCTCCTGGGCAGTGCTGCTGAGATTTCACGCCTGGGCAGCCCACAGCAGCCACGGGGCAGCCCCTGCTCACATGTATCCCATTGGCACAGGCTTGCCCATTGATGCCACTGAAGTAAGGCTGTCCATTGGCTCGATGGCCTGGGAGTCCTCCCAAAGGCACCATAGTGTACTGGCAGGAAGAGGATAGAAGGGCACTTCGAGGAAAACCCAGGTCTGTTGTATGTTCTGGAAGAATAGGACAGAGGTTTTTGTAGGCCAAAGAAGCCTCGGACAGCAGGAGAAAGTTCCACTGGCGACCACATAGGGTCAAAGGAGATGACATTGTTGGAGGGGTGAAGAGTGTATTCTCTCAGGATATTCTTCCTGTCATCCATTTCTTCCCAACATCTACCCTTTTTTCTGAGGTGAGAAAGGTAGGGAGACATGGGGGCAGAGGTTTGGGAGAAAGAGGATGAGTGAAAAGGGCATTACTAAGGTAAGGAAAGTGAGCCACAAGTGTGGCCAGTTGAAGCCCAGGACACAGGGAAACCTCAAAGTAGCACCAAACCCAGAGAAGAGCAGGAAATGCCTGAGGGAAGAGGCAAGAGTTATTGTAAGCATGAACACGAGTTCAGAGAACCAATTTTAGGCATCAGAAGAGGGAACTACATAAGCACCAAGCTCCAGAGATGTGGAGAGGACAGACCAACATCTGCTTCATCACACTGACCCTCAGCTGAAGTACATGAGCTGGGAGGGACAGGCTCAGTCCCAGGGTATTCTCAGACTGTGGGACCTCTGGAGAACCTGGGAGCTAGAACTGCTGGTGACTGTGGAGCAGGGCCTCTCTGGCCCTGCCCTGGGCACAGGCCTCCTTGATGGACTGAGGTCCAACCTCCCTCCCTCCCCAGCCTCCTTCCTCTGTACTGAGGAGAGTTACTCACTTTGCTTAGACCAAGCCCTCCACAAGCAGAAGGGGATGAAGGTGACAATGATGAGGACGACTGAGCCCAGGACGATCCCAACAATCAGATAGGGCAGGTCGCTGGCACGTGCCACGATGGCGCCAGTTCCCATCGGCCGCTCTATGGTTTCTGGGGGTGGTGGCCGTGGTGGAGCCAGAGTTAGTGGTGGGAGTCGGCCAGGCTGACCAGAAGACTTCCGAGCTGCAAGTGTGGACAAAACTCACTTAAGCATCTATCTCTGACATTTCCTTCACAACAAATAGAAAATAATCCAATCCCACAGGTATAGGAAATGGGGTCAAACTTATAAGATAGGGCCTCAAAGTCCCTTATTTGAACTTTGTCCATACTCAGCATGAAATCATATCTAATGTGAAATTTGCTGTTGTTGAGGAGATCTGAACTGTATATTTCAAATTCCAACATGTTTGTGAGCCATGCACAGGGTCAGACTGGGCAGAGGGGTGCCATGTTCTCTGAAAGGGTATCTGGTGAACTTAGGGAAGCAAATATTTAAAGTGCATGAACCCAGCAACAGAATTGGGAATGGAAGAATTTACCCACAGATTTGCTATTCCTAGGTGGATTAGGGGATGTGAAGTGAAGCCTAAGGTAAGAGCTTGGCTGCAGAGGAGAGGGCTGTTTTGGGATTTGGTGGAACGAACAGTAACTGGGAAATGCCAGTTCCAAGGAGGGAAGTGAAACCCTGGAGTTTGCCTTACAGGTGTGCCTGGCATTGTTCACTCTGCCACAGCCATCTTCCTTGGCTTTCTGATGCCAGAGCTTTCTGATTGATCCCCACTACTGCTCTGACTGTCTCTTTCATACCTCACTTTTCCCACCTTTTCCTTCTGCCTACTCAGACACTGGGAGACAGCCCCAGGTCCTCTCGATCTGCACAATCTTCCCATGACTTCTGCCTATATCCTAAAGACTCCCGTATTAATATCCCCACCTAGACCCAGGGAGGAGACTGCTTGTTTTATCAGATACTCAGTAAGCCTCCAACTTGTTTTACCCTGTTCCTTTCTCAGAAATCCTGTTTCTCTAAGTGGTATTGACTCCTGGGTAGGACTCAAGCTAAAACCTCAAACGTACTCTTAACTCCTTTCACTCTCTCCAACCTCAGCAAGTAATCAGACCTGGTCTTGCCCGCACCTCCTCCGAAAAGCAATTCAAACTTATCTCTTCTCTTTACTTTTACTTCAGGGCCCCGATTTTCTCTCCCCAGTCTGTTCCTTGCACAGTCACTGATGATTCTTCTCAGAAAGAAATTCAGCATGATTCTCCCCCACCTCAAAGTTTTTTGAGGCTGTTTCTTTCCCATCTCATGAAGTTGCAGTCAAGTTAAATAAACCAACCAATGTAATTACCAAATGTCACTGCAGGAATAAAGTATTTATAGAAAGTTTTCAGCTTAAGAAGTGGTTTTATGCTTAGTGACTCTGTGGGTGTGTTAATTCCCTAGTCCTTAAAGCCATCACAATGGCAATCCCCTCAAACTAACATGAGGCACAACAAACAAGCAGAAGGGTGACAAATGATGAGGTCTGGAGATACTTCGAAAATAAGGAGGCTTCCTGGGAAAGAGATAGCATGGCATGGAGTAGTGACTTTGCCCTACTTTACTGCAAGCAGGGAAGAGAGGAGAACCCAAGGAGAATCACCTTTGGTCTCACAGATCATTACATTGCTGAACTCGCTCTCCCCGCCTTCATTGAAGCACTGCATCTTAATGTCGTAGGAGGTCTCTGGCTGCAGATGACTGATGGAGTGCCAGTACCTGTCCCCTGGAAAGTAGAGTCACAGTCATACATGATGATGCTGTTTGCTTGGCCCAACACCACAATCAGACTCAGACAGGGTCATGTGTCTGTGCCGGTGCTACTGACCAGCACAGGAGGTGACATGGAGGGGCATACTAGAGGTACCCACCTACATTTCCATTGTCCCATCACTGTGGGAAGGAAGTATGTGGGGTTTTTAACTGAATGGTCCCAAGTGTGTCATGATTAAGCCAATGACATGGAGCACAGGTGGTTTGTGCCATGTTAGACTCAGGTTTTATGCTTCATCCAATGTCACCAACCACCAATAGAGGAAACGGTAACATACAAAATTGCTTCTCACCTTCAACCATATCCTTCTTGTAATCACTGTCATTGTCGCTGTCTGTGGGTCGATAGTAGATATAAAAACCATGGATTGGGGTGTTGTTGTTACTTGCTGGAATATACTATAGGGAATGGAGAAGAGACACACTGACAGTGCAGCACAGAAATCACCGGAAAAAAAAAAAATGCTGTGGTTTGGAAGTTTCTCCCTAGTCCAGGGTTTGAATCTCACTGGGGACCCCTGGAAAACATTCCTGATGATGTCTGAAGTTCTTTGCAGAAGGCTGTGGAGACTGTATATTATTTTATTTTGCCTAGAGGTAACTTGCAGAGACAAGAAACGAACTGCATTTTTTTCAAAGACTTCAGCCCTTTCTGATCCTCCCTGGCATGTGAGGATGAGCTATCTGGCGACAATGAACCCTGAATAAGTGTGTTGGTGTCAAGGGAAGGGTAATAAGAAGAGTGGGACATAATCAGAAAATGAGAACCAGCTTGGGGCTCTACCAGTTACAGCACCAAAACCCTCAGCAGACCATTAACAATAGCTCCAGCTAAGAGCCTCTCATATCTACCAATGGGGCTTTCAATGCGTCGCACAGGGAGCCAATTCCCAGGTGTCCAGGTAGTGGAATATTTAGGGGAGGCCCCTTAGGAGAAGGGCTGAGGCAGGGGAGTGATTCCTTCCTGCCTCTGCTGCAGGCAGGAGTCTCATTCTCCTCTTCCCACAGCCCTGCACGGCAAGGCCACTTACCATCCACTTGAGCATGATGGTGGTCTCATTGACTGCATCAGTGAAGGTAATATAGGGGCCTGCCACTGGCCTCTCATACACGCGGCCACTGTAGCCTGACACCACGTAGGGCCGGGAGGGGGCACTGGGCTCACTCTCCCCCAGCATGTTGAGAGCCCGGACTCGGAACTTGTAAGAGGTGCCTGTTAAGAGAGAACCTCACTGAACTCAGGAAAAACTTTTTGATTCCCCTACAGCCCATCAAGGCCCAGCCTGGAGGGATCTTCTGGGCAGCCTTTCCCCAAAGCAAGTCCCCAAAGGACTCACAACAATGCCCGTCCTCATCAAAGAGGAGCCACATGGAAGAGGGAGGAAAAAGGCAGAGCCACACTCTGCATCTGTATGAGCACACGGAAGGGTGGAGGACAGGTCTCCATCACGCCTCTTCCCCTTCCTCTTCCAGGTTGTCCAGGGATCAGGGAAGAGAGTACCCAGGCCCCTACCTTTCTCTAGGCCTGTGATTTCCACAGACAGCCGTGAGGGAGGGATGGCACTGGTGGCCAGAATCCAGTCTCCCACTTTCTTTAGCTTCTTGTACTCCACACGGAAGGACTGGATCGGGAAGCCGCCATTCCCACGGGGAATCCAGGTGACATACACTGAGGTCTCGGAGGCCATGGAGATAGTAGGCCTGTCTGGAGCTTCTGGGGCTGGGAAGACCATGCACAGTGAAGAAGGAAGTGGGAGGCAGGGATGCCACCAGATGATATGGTATTCTGACTGGACTTGGCCTGTCACCGGCAGGGCCTGCTCCTCCCCATGGCACTCTACCCACCAGTGTTCCCAATAGTTCCTATGTTTGGGAGCAGCCCTTCAGCTAAACATCTACAAAACCACGGTGTGCAAAGCCACTGCTATCTGGACCCATGGTCAGGGCTCCAACCTTTTATTTGAAAAGCTCCCATCTATATTTTCTTATTGCGGCTAACCAAGGAGATGCCAAAAAAATGTCACCAGGACTCCTGGCCCTACAAAACCCAAACCCCATGCAACCTGCAGTAACAGAACAGGCCCTCTGAGACAGCTGGTCCTGAGCTCTCAACCCCTCCCTTCCCACCCCACTGCTGATAGGCTTACGGGAGAGGCGGCCATGGTCCGGCTGGCTGCTGCTCTGGGGGCCCGCTCCAGGGTCATCTCTCTGGACCTGCTGCTCCTTGCTGGCCATGATCTCAGGTTTGGGCCGCCGTCCTGAGTGGAAATAGGTATGGATCAGCAAGGGAGGGAGTGTGCTCTAGATTCCCTTCCCAGACTCTGTTTTGCCTGAGAACCTGTAAAGGGCTGTGGAAGGGTGATGCAAACAAGAACATGGATACTGAAAGTGGAATGTGATTCCTAGCTCTGCTGGCCCTTCTGTCTTGGAGAGGCAAAAGGACACCAGAGAGGCTGGCTGGCCACTCTCCTGATGAGAGCTAGCACTTCGCCCTGGCACCCAAACCCCGGGAAGGAGCAGCTAGAGGAAGGACAGGGTTCTAGGTCCAGAAGTGGGCAAGGTGAGCAGGATTTCACTCCTGGGTCTGGTATAACTTGTTTGAGCCCATGGAAACCCTAAGCTAAGTGCAAGAGTTTGACCTTACCAGTTCGGAAGGTGACCATGGCTGTCTGGCCCTCGCCAGCACAGTTGTAAGCTGCCATCTCCACTTCATACAAGCTCCCTGGGTCAAGCCTGGTGAGGGTCAGGCGGTGCTGATTGGCTGGAATGCCAGAGATGGTCCAGTCATCAGAGGAGTTTGCGACCTGCTGAAGAGGGTGGCTGGTGTAAGATGCAGCATCTTCCCTTGTAACTGAGCCCACAGAGCATGACGATGGGAAGGACATGGGCCAGGTGGGCTGCAGAGATCAGACTGGCCCTCCTGGCTATGGGACATCAACCTCATCTCTCTGGTCAAGTCAGGCTTCTTGGTCCGCATCTAATCCCATTAAGGAAGATCAGAAGGCTTGACTGATATTTCTGGGGGCTTCTCTACCCTCTCCCTCTCCCATACTCCCCCAAACTTCTATATTTAACTTTCTCTCTTCTGTGTACTGAACCAAACACATTTCCTTGGTCTCTGTTCTAGTGAGAGACAGTGGTAAGAAAGAGAAAACAGCAGCAACAGTAGAAATAGCAATGTTTTCTGAGTGTTCACTCTGTGCTGAGCACAGAACTAAGCATTGTTTACACAAAAACGCACTTGTCCTCACAATGGCCCAAGTGATGAGTGTCTACAGTGTTCCCACTTCACAAGTGAGTTGACCAAGCTTAAGAGAGATAGCAATTTGCACAAGGCTGGAGAGCTAGTGAGCACAGAGACTCTGACTTGACTCCAAAGAGCATCTGCAGAATGTAACCTGTCCTAATCAGGAGTCTGAGGCAGAAATTCCCGAGTTCAAGCCCTGGTCACGTAACTGTGAGCAAGCTCCCACACTCTCTGAGCCCTAACCTTTTCATTTCTAAGGTGAGATAAGGAAAATTCCTCCAGCTACTCTGAAGTGAAATTAGGGGACTTGCATAATACTGCTAGCTTTGAGCTTGGTACATGAGAGGTTTCCAACAAATGCCTGGTCTCTCCTCTCACCCTCCCCACATGCATCCTTTACCTGGGGAGGTTTCTATCATTTTAATCCTCTTTTTCTCTGCTCCTGCTCTCAGTCCTTGCTTAGAAATTAAAAACTGGGGATGAATTGTGACTATAAATTAAAATGAATTTTTAATTACCGGCTCTCTAAACCTAAAGAAAGAAAAAATAAGTGGGCTCCAGGCCCCCAACAGGTGAAGGTAAGAGATTATTCTATTTCATTCACCATTTTTCAAGGTCTTAACATCTAGCTCTGTGCATCTCAGAGTCTGCTAGAAGCAGAAACTGAGGTTGATGAAGAAAGAGAACAGCTGGAAGGGAAAGCTCTTATCCCCAAGCAGAATATTCCAAAGTAGAACAAAACCTACCATTCAAAGGAAAAGGATAGTCTGGGCTCATTAACGTCAGGCTTCCAGGATTTGTTCCAAGGGAAGACGTTTTTACAAACTGAGAATCCCCAGTGGTGCTAGAAACCCAAACACAGTAGCCCAGGGTCTGCAGTGCACCAGGAACTGAAACTGCTTCATGCAGGTGAAAAACTGAAAATCAGCTTAGTAATTCCCAATCCTCCACAAGAGAAGAGGCATGAAAAAATGTAACCCAAACACAGATTTTTGATTTCAAAATTCTTTTTTGGATGACGATCATTAAGATATGTGAGTTTTCCACAGCAGAAACAGCTTTCAAGACATACTTTCTGCCTTAGCAACATCCAAACAGCTCCAAGTGCCCTTCAGGCTGGAGCCTAATAGAAGCCAGACCCAGCAGGGGCCCTGTCCGGACTCTCTCTTCTCAGTACCCCCTCCTCCCCCTGCCCTCCCAGTGCTGGCCTCACATTTCCACTGGGCCCAGAAATGAAAATAAGAAATGGAAAGGTAATTAGTCACTGTCACACACACTGAGAGGGTGAGTGTGGCCTCAGCCTGGCATTTCCGGATTGCCTTGGTGGGTCTTTGCCAGCCTGCCTCTTGTATGAGGCAGTTTTGTGGCCACCTATTGGCCTGAAAAATATTATTCTTGCTCTCACACTGGTTTTTGTCTCCTGGGGACCATGGATGTTTGACCTTCCCTGATCTTTGTCTACAACTCAGATGGAGGTGTCCAGTTACACAGGGAAGTAGGATGGGGACTAGCCCTGACCTGGAACATGTGCTGAACAAGGCTGTTTCTTGTTGCAAACCCACTTGCCCCTTTGCTGGCTACCTGGGAGGAGGCCAGCAGGCTGAGGGCTACTGAGAGTTGGGTTCACCCAGGCCCCCTACACAGGAGGCTGCACAAAGGCCACAGGGGACCGCTCTGCCTTAAGTGGTGTTCTGACCACCCTAGGGGCTCTGTGGACTTGTCTATATGGTCTTCTAGAAGAACCTGAGAAGACAAGGACAGAATGTAGGGGCCAGGTGGGTCCACAGCAGGGACACAGCTTTTACACAGCCCACACCATGCAGGGTTAGCTTTGTTTTCTTGTGTAGTTTTGGAGAAGGAAAAAGTGGATAAATACTTTTGGTTTCACATTCTTTAATTTTCCACGAAGTGTACATAGCACTTTTAGAAGCAAATATAATATAAATGCACAATAAAGCCCAGCATTTATGCTATGCTAACAGCCAATAAAATTTTTTCAAATCTATGTAAGAACAATAATTTTCTACTATCCACTGGCATTAGAAAGAAAAGAGCATATACTTGAGGTGAACAGAAACATTTTCCAAGATGTTTTCTTACAGGGAATTTCACATCCTCTTCCCTGCACAGCCTGGAAGGGCTGGAGGCCCTATTCCACCTCACCAGACAGTGTCCAGGAGCAAGGGGTTGGCTCGGCTCTGTCCCTACCTCCTGTCATAGCCCACGATTCCCCTTCTGACAACTCTTGAAGCAGCCCTCTAGACAGACTCCCTTCTGTCAAGGAGAAATAACTGAGGTCTGAACACTTGATGCGCTTGGAGCTCAAATGCCTGCTTACCCAACCAGAGCCATGATGAATTCTGAGAACTGAGGGGCATTTTATAGCCCACAGAGAAAACACTTGTTCTCAAATATTTGTTTTCCTGGCTATAGAGCTAGTTTGGCACAGCAGAGCCGCTGAAGGATGTACCTGGCAGATATTAATTTGACTAAAAAAGGAACCAAAGCAACATCAACAACAAATGACAAAGGAAATAGTGGAGGGAGAGGATGGCAATAGGAAGCCTGATAACTGTCTCCAGACTAGCAGCTGGCGTGAGCTATGAGAATGAGTACATAGGGCTTAGACCTGAGGGCCCACACATGGCCTATGGCCTGGCCTCTCAGGGTCCCACCTGTCCATCTAGAAGCTAGCATCCTGGGAGGCAGTGGGGATGGGCATTGGAGGAGACAGGGCATGATCAGTGGCAGGGATGTACTGGAGGTTTCACTTCAGGCCAGAGGAAGAGGGACCCTGCTCAGCCTCACCAAGAGGCAGTTCAAGGAGGTGGCAGCCAATGCCAGAGCCATACCTTGCGGTGTTTCACAACATAGTAGAGGATGGGTGCTCGGCTGCCACCCTCATGTCGAGGTCGCCACACCAGTTCATAGGAGTCGGTTTTGGAGGTCCGGGGAGAGCTGAGGATGATGGGGGCCTCAGCAGGGGCCACTTGCCCCTTCTCTCCTGGACACTGCAGGGAAGCAGGCTGCACTGATGTCGGAGGCTTGGCAAGCCCTGGTCGCTCCCTCAGCATCTGATCAGGGTTACCGGATCTGGAGGGTGGTGCAGGAGGCGTGGCTGTGGATGGCTTAGCATCCTGCCAGGGGCCCAGAGTCGTGCCTAGGGTCAGAGCAAGAAAAAGAAGGGAAGAAGCAGGGTGTAAATATCCCTGGGTCACCTGGAAAAACCTGAGGACAAAGTCAGAGAAGACCTGAGATCACCATCAGCCTTCATGTGACACACAGCAAGGCTCTGTAGGAGACAGGGCCAGTGTCGCTGCCCTGCCAGAAGGGAAAGGCAGCCTGGACACCTTGCCTGGGCCACTTGCTGCATTCATGGGTGGCATTTAAGCACCTCTGCAATCTGCTGACTTTCTATGTCCTCAGGAAGTATGTCATGAATGATGTTACAATTTGAATATGAAAATGTCCCATGTGCTCGTGTGTCGAATGCTTGTTGAATGCTTGGCCACCAGTTGATGGTGCTATTTTGGGAGGCTGTGGACACTTTAGGAGGTGGGACCTTGCTGGAGGAAGAAGATCACTGGGCAAGTGCTTTTGAAAGTTATGCCTGGTCCCAAGTCCCTTCGCCTCTCTCTGCTTCCTGTCTGCCATGAGATGAGTAGTATCTGCCACATGTTCCTCCTGCCATCATGTCCTGCCTCTCCACAAGCCCAGAATCAACAGAACTGAGGACTATGAACTGAGACCTCTGAAACTGTGAACCTTTAAGTTGTTTTTCTCAGTGATGGAAAAGGTGACTAGTATAGAAAATTGGTACCAGAGAAATGAGGTTGTTGCTGTGACTAAATCTACCATGTGGTTCTTAAGTGTTTGGAACTGATTTGTGGGAGGAATTTGGAAGAGTTTGGAGATGTGGGCTAGAGAAGCCCTAGGATGCTGTCAGCAGAGTTTAATGGCTGATTCTGGTGGGAGCTTGGAAGACCAGAATGTAATAATAATAGTAATGAGGACAGTAAAATCTGCACTTATGATGTTTCAGATAGGAAGGAGGACTCTGCTGGGAATTGGGCTAGAAGTCACATGTGTTACGTTGCAGCAAGGAACTTGTCTATATTTTGTTCATGCCCTAAGACTTTTTGGGAGGCAAGGTGACAGACTAGTTAATCTGACAGAGGTAATTTTAAGGCTGCCCTGCATTCAGGCTGTCTCTGGCTGTCAGGTTATTGCTGGCTGTTTTTACCGGGTTTATAGTGAGAATTGGGAGCAAAAAACTGTGCAAAAAGATCTGAAAAATTTACAGTTTGGCCAACAAAAAAAAAGAGTATTTAGTTTTGGACAAGGAGAGCATGATTGTTAAAGAGATAGAGCCACTAAAAGGAAGTCAGATGTTTTGTACCAGGACAATAGGAAAAATGTATTAAAGGCATCTCAGGAATTGGCTGGACCCCACCCACTGCAGACTCAAGTTTTAACTCATTTCAAAGACGTTGCTTTGAGAAGAGAATTCTGGGGCACCCTGCTTGCAGTGTTGCCTAGGGAAGTGTTTCCCCTCATTCAGCCATTTGAGCATTTAGCAGCCACTATAGCCTGGTCCAAGTGGGTACAATTACTACTTTAGCTGGCAGAAGACATTGGGGTCATCCACATGATGCTGGCTGTACAGGGAGACAGAATGCAAAAGTTGTGGGATCATGGATGCTTCCACCCAGATTTCAAAGGACCCTCTGGAAGGATGGGCAATGTGTAGCAAGGGTCAAAATTCCTGCCATGAGTCCTTGAGGGGAGGAGGCATGACGCTATGAGGGTGAAGCCAAAGATTCAGTGGAGACCCTGGGAAGTTGGAGAACCTGGAACCTGGAATGTCTGCCAAGAAAAGCCACAAGCAATGACTGGAACCAGCCTAAGAGAGAGGCCATGTGAGCTGCAAACAGCCAGACCTCTGGGGCAGGGTTGCTCAAAACCTCTGGGGCCCACATCCTGCCACCATGTGCCCCAGATGTCAGATATGTAGCTACGGATTTAATTTTTTCCCTCCTGGGTTTCAGTCGTGCTTTGGTGCCATCCCTCCTTTTGATCACTATTGTTCCCTTTTGGAATGGGAATATCCAATGTGCCACTGGATATTTAAAGTAAGTGATTTGTCTTTGATTTTTGGCTCACAGCTAGGAGTTTGTCTTGAGTCTCCAAGGAGACTTTGAACTTGGACTCTGCTACACTAGTCTCAACTCCACAGGACATTGATACCTGATAATATTGGCATAATAGCTGATAAATTTGGCATAATATGTCCTAGGAAGGACATTATGATAATATGTCCTTCTTAGGAATGGTTTTGAAGGTAGCGTCTACATGATGTCATTCTGTATCCCCACATTATTACCTGGCTCAGTGCTGAGCACACAATAACTGCTCAGTCATTACAGGTGTCAACTGGAATGACCTCAGCTAAGAAGAAGAGCCATATCTTTCTTTATTCTTGGGCACTGGTTGTCAAACTTGGTTCCACAGAACCCTAGGAGCCCTAGGATTCTGCAAACTAATAAATACTTTTTAAAACAAATACAATGGTTAAACAGGTCATTTTCATTAGCACACCTGACCTATTAAAAAGTTAATGTAATTTTGAATTTACAATTAAAAGTCACTCAGTTGGATTTGAGAAGAGTGATGAATATCTGTTCAGCTGGAATCTCGGTCCCCTGGGCTATACTTACCTGGTCGGGCCGTCCTCAGCTGGACCACGGCATGGGCACTCCCAACTTCATTCTCCGCCATGCACTGGTAGACGCCTTCATCCTCAGGCCCCACACTGACCACACGCAGGGCCCTGCGGGATAGCCGGAGACGCTGGCTGGCAGCAAGGGGCACGGCATTCCTCAGCCACAGCACAGAGGGCGGGGGATTCCCGCGCACCTCACAGGTGAGCTTGGCACTCTGGCCCCATGGGATGACAAGCTGGGACAGCTCCATGGTGACTTCGGGAGGCTCTGTGGGAAACCAGAGCAGGGGTGAATAGGGCTGCATTTTCCAGCTCCAGGACGAGATAGGATGGGAGAGGATATAGCCAGGAGTGGCTCTCACCTCCTCTAATGTCGGTTTTCTCCATGGGTAGGGATAGAGAGGAGAGACATCCCCCATCTCCTCCATCAGTAACACAGGAAAGGGACTAAACAGTGAGCCAGAACCTTGGGCTTTTGCTCTTTGATCCAAGTATAGGAGTTAGGCAGAAAATTAAAATCCATCCTGGCCTGCTGATGTTAATTAACACAATGACTCATAACATGCAGTAGGGTTTTGCTGACTCCAAGTCCCCACCACCCTTGAAAAATGAAAAGCTCCGGTCTGACCATCCAAGGCCAAGAACTCCTTTGCCCATTGTATGGGAGAAGCTAATGATACCGGAGTTAATGACACAAAACCAGTTTTCTAGGAATGGCCACCTCCATGTCCACAGACCCCAACAAAATTTGAGGTCTTGGGACGCTCAGTGCAACCCTCTTTCTTGAGCCTGCCCACCCTCCCAACTGTTTTCGCTTTGCTTGGCAATAATAAACCTGCTTCTATTTAAGTTTCATACTTGAATTCTTTCTCTTTTGAGGCCAACATTTTGGCTCTGACTTGGTGACCTGAATCTAGCAACACAGAACCTCAGCCTCTCAGGACTGCCTCCATTACTGATCAGTTGGGTCTTTCACAAACATGACCCTCTCTGACCCATGTTACGTGCTCTAAAAGGATCACACGGGCCAGAAGGAAGGTCACAGAGAAGGTCAGAGGAGATACTTACCAAACACCTGGACGTTGTAGAGGATGACAGCTGCCCCATGCTCTCCCACCCCATTGTTGGCCATGCAGCGGTAGGTGCCGGAGTCCTCCTCACTGGTGGTGTCGATGAGCAGGTTGCTCAGCAGGAAACGAGTCTTGTTGTAGCCAGCAACACTGGACCCATCCTTGGCCCACGTGACTTGAGGAGGTGGGATCCCACTGGCCACACACTCCAGAATGAGGCTCTGGCCTTTGGTGACAATGACAGTTTGGGCCTCTAGGGGATAAATGATGCGGGCAGCCTCAGCAGTGGAGCCTGGAGAGGGGAAGAGAGGCAGAACACACAGGCTGTGAGACCTGCCTCAGGTTGCTGGGCCCCAAGAGAGTCCCAGGGAACATGAACTTGAGCTCAAACAGCCCTCCAGAGGCTTACAATCTACATAAAGCAGGACAAATTACTTGATTCCTTATCAGAAACAAGGGGCTCCTCTAGGAGAGAATCCGTCTTAGTCATTGTCAACTCTAGGTGGTGGTGGACAGATGAGGGTATGAAGAGGGAAAATCTTAAATGGGGGTCATGATTTTTTCTACTTGACCTCAATCAGTGTACCCTGAGCCTAAGGAAGAGATGGGAGACAAGGATCTACCAGGCCCTAACCCCAGCCCATGGGTCTCGGTCCAAGTGTCCCTCTCAGGGTGAAGATCCTGCTGACCTACTGTTTATAAAGATAAGCAGTTCTTATCTTGCAAGATCCCCAAACACAAATCAGTGACTTCATCAAGTGCTCAGTGGAGGAGGCAGTGATCTTGTTCATTGCCAGGTAACTGAAAGGCACGCTACTCTCCAACAAGCTGCCTTCCTTGGGACCATCAATGAGCTTGCAGACTCTGATTTTGCTTAATGTGCCAACCAGGGGGCAGATCCAGGTTTTATTTATCCTGAAGCTTCTAAAGTTTGGGAGACCTTCTTTAAGGAAAAGAATACAAAATTCCAGATAAAAAGATATATCAGAGAGGAATCACTGAAGTTTAGCTTTAAGAAAAAAAAATCCATCTGTGCTGCCTCTCAGAGGTAGCTAGCTCCGCCTACAAATGTCCCTCCACTGGGCATCCTAGAACAGTGCTCAGAAGAGGTTGCTGTTGTTTGCACACTAATGAGGGAGTGGGTGGGCCTCTGAGGACTTTCATCAGAGGCAAGCTCTGGGCATTGCAAGCAGGGGTGCAGAGCACAGGGCAGGCCAGAGGCCACCCACACGAGTAGTGCTTGTGTGAGATTCCATCCGCCGCTGTGCTCTGTGGCCTTCCCAGTACACACATCCCAACCCATCCAACTCACAAAGCAACCATGAAGGAAACGGTCAGCAAGCAGGAAGAGGACATCCTCTCTCCTCTAACCCACACACCCTGCGTAAGCCAGGTCCAAGGGCCCTGTGCCTTAAGTAGCTGACCTGGGGCTGGCCAGAGGGGAGAGAAGCCCCACGGAGTGCTGGATGTCCCACCAGCCTGAGCCCTGCAGCCTCGCCACCCCCAAGCACAGCGAACTGGGGCCTCTGGTGCTCTACCTCCCTTTTCTGGTTCCCACCTCCCCTCCCAGTTTTGCAGACTCTCCATCAGCAATTCACCACCCCAGTGGATGAGTCTGGCCCTTACGGCGCACACGCAGCCTGTCACTTGAGCCAGAGGTTTTCACTTCCTGGGTCACCGGGTTGTAGGCTGCACACTTGTACATCCCCTCATCTTCTTGGCTGGCGTTGACAATCTGGAGGTTCCCTGATGGCATGATCAGGTAGTTGTCTGTGGAGAGGGCAGGGAAGGGAAAGATGGAGTGAATTTGGGCCCAGAATACTGCAGCTTGCAGCTCCCACTGAATAAGGGGCATGGGGTGGGAACCAGTCCAAGTGTAAAATGTTGATCTTCCCATAAAACCTTGCACTGAGCAGGAAAGGCTGAGGAACTAACTCACCTAACTGGTTAATGAGCTGGCTGACTGATTGCCCCCAAATCAGTGCATCTGTGTGAAGAACAGTTTGTACTTTCAAGTAGTTAGGGGAGGGTAGAAAGGATGCAATGTAGGGCTTGGGGTCCAGAAGACCTGGGTTCAAGCCCTGGATCTGTTAGATACTAACTGCGGGATTTGAGTAAGTTAATTAACCTCTTGGATCCTGTTTCCTCATTTGTAAAGAGTCATAGTGCATGCTGCCTCACAGCCTCTGTAAAGGTTGAGGGGCCCGTGTTGCACATGTGGGAGAGAGGTGATCTTTCCTAATTTGTAACTTCCAATCAGTTTCTGTCATAGTCACTTCTCAGAGCCACCTCATATTGAATTTCTGCTACTGGGGAGAACTATTCTGACCCCCAGCCCCTGCCCTCTACGTGGTGGCTACTGGAAGCCCATCTTGCATATGGTTGGCTTATCAAGCTTTGTCTGTTGCTGGGGTGCCGTGGTAGGGGAAACCCTGGGCATGGGTTCAGGTTCTCTAGGCAGGAGGTAGATTCACAGCTTCTTTACAGCCCAGCAACTGGGTGGCCTTCAGCTTCTGGCAAGCAAAGCACTGGCTGTCAGCTCTGAGCTCTGTCCTGGTGGCCCCTCCTGGGAGTCATGGTGTCACTAAGCCTGGTGACTGCCTGCTGCTGGGTAGCAGGTGTGAGCTGTTTAGGCAATGCCAGATGGATCAGCCTCCCCTAGGGCCACTGCCAAGCCTTTGCTGGGACACGGGCATTAATACTATCTCCTCTCTGTTATTTCTGAGTGCCGGGATTAGGGATTTTACCTTTCAAAAATAGCTTTCTGTCTTTTCTGAGTTTTCTATAATGAACACATACTCCTTTTATAACAAGGAAATCTGTAGAATGCATTAAAGATAAACATTTTGGGTTTGCTTGTTTTATTTTGGTGTGACTGGGGTTTGAACTCAGGACTTTGTGCTTGCAAAGCAGGCACTCTGCTGCTTAAGCCACACCTCCAGCTTATTTTGCTCCGGTTATTTTGGAAACGGGAGTCTCATGAACCATTTGTTCAGGTTAGCCTTGAACCACCATCCTCCTGATCTCAGTTTCCCATGTAGCTAGGACTGTAGGCATAAGTCACCACACATTTTGAGTTGCTGGATCAGGTCAAGTTGAGCCAACCTGGTGTCATATACAGGGTCATTTATGGGGGGAGGCTGACTTCATCTTGAGGGACATACCCCTCCCCATTGACACGCTGTGGACCCCAATGTGGTCTTCCCTGGGTCATGTCTACTGTGGACTGACCAGGAAGCTGTGATTGCTGAGATAAACACAGAACTGGGCGAATGGGGAGAGTGGTAAAATAGCTCCAAGAAGATTGCTCTAGTGTGTGGAGGGCCCACTCCCCAAAACTCTGGGGATGCTCTGTTGGTCAGGGAGCCATTCTGTGCATGCTTAGCGGTAGGGACTCACACTGGAAGCATCTGGAATCATGTGCTGAGCGCCAGATCAAATAGCCACAGCTTGGCTACATCTCCCAGGGCATCAAAGGATGAAGAAATTCTCCATGACAAGACAGAGGCTCTCCATAAGGGAACCCTTTCCCACCCCCCCCGCCCCCCCTTAGGATCCTACAGGGCTAAATGTGAGGGTAGCAGACAGCTTGCCAGCCTGAGGATGGGGCTGTCAGTGCAATCATGGAGGTTCAGGAGGTGGCAGTCATTGACATGGTTTGACAGTGGCCAGAGGGGGCTAGGGGCTAGCTCCACCCTGGCCTTGCACCCACTTGCTCACCTCTGGAGGCCTCCAGCCACTCTTGTTTGACACTGTACCGGACCTGGGCTTTTGGATGGCTCTCAGGCAGATGGCAGGCAATGACAGCTGTGTTCCCCTCATCTACCTCGATCACATGCTGCACGTCTAACTTGAAGTCTTGGAGATCTGTGGAGAGATGGGAATGTGCCCATTAGGCCTTGGCAGAGATTAAAATGTGGTGTCTCAGGTAGACTGGTGTCGTAAATCACAGAACACACCTTTGGAGCTCACTGGGGTCATCAGAAGGTGCCAAGTCATTCCTCAAGAGTCTTGCTGCTTACAGAGATTTATAAGGATAGAATGTGTGGTCCTCATCACTGCATGGAGGTTCAACACAGTGTGTACATAAGACATAAGCTGGGGGAGTGTAAAGAATTCCCTCAGGAGGTGCCTTTGACACAGATCAGCCTCTCCTTTTTTTTTTTTTTATGGTACTGGGAGTTAAACCCAGGGCCTCATGCATGCTAGGAAAGCAAGTGCTCTACTACTTGAGTCACACCCCGAGAGCTTTTTGCTTTAGTTTTCAGATAGGATTTTGTGCTTTTACCCAGGTGGCCTCTGCCTGTGGTCATTCTACCTTTACCTCTGGAGTATCTGGGATTTCAGATCTGAGCACCATGCCTGGCCCAGGCCAGCCTCTGCTGGGGGAGGGTTGGCCCTGTTTGTCTGCCTTGGACATGGGTCATGGTCAAGGCACAAATGTTGAGCACAGCTGTCAGGAGGATCAGCTAGTAGAAACGGGAGAGAACAATGAAGAAGAATGCTAATGTCCTTCTCCAATTCAATCAAGGACAGCCTCTTGGGTTCTTCCCAACCATCCACAGTGAAGAGTAACAGGCCTGAGATTGCACTTGACTGCTCACTACTATCACCATGATTTGTAACTGGAAAGCCAATCCCTGCTCTCCAGGAGGTATACCATCACATGGCTACTTTCTCCTTAGGTCCAGGGTTGGGACTCTGGGATTATCCTAAGGATTCTCTGAGGCAAACAGGGACCTGCTGAGACACCAGGCAGTATCCCAGTGTGGCTTAATAGCAGTGAAATGAGGGGGAGCTGAGGGTCCTGACCAAATCTACAGTCTCTGGCAGCCTCATGGCCATCGCTTCTGTCTTGGCTCCATCAGAGGAAGACTAGGATCTAAATTGGGAGAGGACGGAGCTAGGTCAAGATGTTTCCCAAACAATCCAAGAGTCCAAAAAAAAAAAAATCTCTTTGTATGAGCCAGATCACTGATATTGCTGAAAAGTAACATCAAAACCATATTCCAAATTGGAAATTTGGTTTTCAGGCTTGATGCTGAATCTATATTAAGAGACGAAATAGAACAAATGGAATATAAAGTAAGAGGGATAAAGATATTTTACCTAGGCACTTTCCTCATCAAAGTACTTAGAAAGCCCTGGAAGCACCCTCTTCGGGTGCTGCCTATTCCAAATTCTGTCAGCCCCCAAAGACTTACTGTGATTTCACTGTAAGACTCCATCTGCCTGTGTTGTGTCTATGAAACTCACAGAAGGCAACAAGAGCAGGCAGGAATCAGGTTTCCCACAGAAGACAAAAGATAATTGACAAAAACAAACTACTGTCACCACAACAGAAGTAGGTTTCCTACTTAATGGAACTTTCCAGAAGCTTTTAGTCAGACCAAGCCAGGGAGGAAAGCTCTATTGATCTATTAAAGAAGGATCATTACCCCTTTGATTATAATGTGTTAGACTGTGATCTCCCTAGGGGCAGGGACCACACCTTGTTGTTCTTATGTGTCCCCTGAGCATAACTCAGGTCCTGTCCTAAGCAGACAGTACATGTCGAGTGACTAAGTTAGGTAGGAGATTCCTGCTTACATAGCTTATGAACCCAAATTCCCTGATTGAGTTTTTAGTCTATATTGTGAGCTTAAAGGACAAGGGCCTAGCACAACAAATGTTTTATGAACAGTGTGACCAATGCAAACTATTTTGAAAATAGTATGTCTCTTGAGAGGTTACTCTCAGGGTTACAGAAAAGAGATGAACTAGATTTAATAAATGTGTAATAAGAGATACATGCTATTCACTGAGCAGTGTCGCAGCAACAATGGGGGATTGCCTGATTCACTTTCCTTGCCCCATTTCACTTTCCAGGCTTATTGAGAGCTGCCTGTGGATCAGGGTCTGCTCTCCCATGGAGTTCTTTCTTTAGGTTTTTAAATACTTAGTTCATCATTATTTAATTTTGTGCATGGTGATTTCTGACCCTAAGTTATAAATTCCTACTGGGAAGCCTATTAATTTTGCACACCACACCCCAATCCTACGCCCATCACACAATAGTCAGAAGATAGCAAATGCTCTTTAAATCTTCTCAGAATGAATACTGTGGAAGGCTGAACCAAAACCAGCTTCATGGACAACCTATCTCTGCCCTTGGAAGGAGCCAAGGCTTCGTTTAATGTTCTGTTATCACCAGCTTAAAATGCTCAATTGCATTTGAACGAGGGACCCTGCAGATTATGTAGACCAGTCCTGGCTGAACCTCTTAGTCAAGACAGTGAATGAGTCTTCTCGGAGAGGATTTGGATCAAGGGAGAAGGGATTGCCTGAGCACAGTGTGTTCTAACTAAATATTGATAACTTTATTTTTTGAAAGCAGTTTACTTCAAAAATTCAAAGGTCTTAATCCTGTACCTGCCAAGTTAGAAAGCTCCCCACAAAGTGAGCTGTGTGCAATTGTGTGCTCTGGGGCATCTGGAAAATTCCTCAGGTACTGAGAAGCACTCTCTCCATGGTCCAATAAATCCAAAGCTACTCCACCAAAAGTTTTTTTTCTTTTCCTCTTTCTTTTTCTTTACCTCATTCCAAGGAAATTTGCCTCAAGCAAGAATATACTTAAGCCTAGCAGATCATTTTGCAAGAAAGATGTGAGCAACTGAAAGGAGTTTGGCACCAGTAGGCCATCTCCATCTCAATGGCCTAAGCTCCTGCCTATTGTAATTGAGGGCTTATCCCTGCACAGAACATGCACTCTGCCAGGCACCCACCTCACCCACCCAATGCTAGAAAGCACTGGGTCTCACTTAGTCCCTCTTGGCTTCCACAGCACTCTGTGATGACTGTTCGGGTGGAGACAGAAGGCTGTGTTGTGAAAGAAACACAAAGTGAGGAACCGGTCAGCCATGCAGCCCAAGGGCCCCTCTGTTCTGATGCCAACATGTGCAAAACAGCCTGTGCAGGCAGGACCCAGGACACCCCAGCTGGGAGTCCAGCTCCTCACAAGGGCCCACTGGCAGGCGAGCTTCTTAGCTTCAAAACAAACAAACAGCAGTTTGGTCCTTGGCCCTGTCCCCCACCCCGCCTTACGCTTCCCAAGCTTAAGCCTTAGCTGCTGTCTCGCTAGAACAAACACTCCCAATTTGGCTGCTGGAGTAAGACTTGAGTTTCACTAAGGGATCAAAGGCAGAGTAATGAAGTGATGAATGATCTAAAAATCAGGCAGCCCCCTTTCCTAGTGTTTCTGGGCAGGAAAGGAGGCCAGAGAGGGGTGGAGACTTCATGATCAATAACAGCCTAATCAGTCATCAGCTGGGCAGATGCAGAGGCGACCCAGTTGGCTGTATGTGAAGGAGAGCAGCCTGTTCCCAAGCTCTGGCTCTGCAAAGCTGGTTTCCTGGCAGAGGCCCTGGGCTGCCCAGCCATGCCTCACCAAGAAGAAGTGGCAGGCCCTCTAGTTACAAAGGGGGTTAGCAGGCCTAAATTGCAGAAGGGTGGGTCAGGTTTCATGGGAAATGGTTTGACAGGACACCTGTCCTTGCCTGTTGACTGGTGTGTTTGAGAAATCCATTAGGGGAATGTTTTTGCAGCTTTAATCCTCTTACCTTCTCCCATACCTCTCTTCTGCATTCTCTCTCCATGCATCCTTCCATCAACTTCATTAACTTGTCCACATTAATCAAATGCCAGTAGGCACCCTCTTGTTTCTCAGCTTTCCATAGGTCAGAAGCTCTGTTCTTTGGAGCCACCTCTGAGTTTACTGACTCACAAAACTTTATGCTTTCTGAGACAGCTCCATACAGACCCTGCCTGATTCCTTCCTTCTAAGAGCTCAAATTCCAAGGGAAAAATGAATATTCCAATGACTCACTTCTGTAGGATGCACAGGTTGCAGGGATTTGTTCAACTACACATCCTGTGGTGTGCTCTGTGCTTCCTCCTCACACTTACAGGCACATTTCTTTTGGCCATGGAGGAAAAAAGAAAGACTTTTAGAGGCACTTGGGGGTGGTTCCCTTACCAAGCTCATATGTGAACTATGAATGGACAAATTTTATCTTGAGTCCTTTGAACTTTCTCACCACCTTCTTCTAGTCTCCATCCTTCCACTGTTAATAAGCTCAGTAGGACTATGAAGTAAATTATAATATTTGGTATATGTTCACACATCCTCAATACAAACTGTCAAATCTTAATTGAAGGCTTATCTCCCAATTTTCATGGATGTTAAGCATCCAGTTACAAAGTGTATTGGTTCTTGGATCAATGCCCCCAGTGTCTATAACCTTAACCATCACTTTCAAGGGGTTTCCTCATTCAGTCTTCTCCCTAAGTCTTCCATTAGGGGTTGTGAATCAAAGCTCTATTCTGTTTACGTAAGAAGCCAAGAAAAATGGCACCTTTGGCCAGATGCTGTGAGAGTCATCAATATCCCCATCACTATGAATGAGGCTGAATGCTCGAAACAATTTTGGTCTTGTGGCCATGAAAACATTTTTCACATACAGTCCTGTCCTTCCTTCTTCAGTGTTCTCGGGGATCACAAGACAAGCCTGTACTCATCTGCTAAGATTTGGATGGAACCCACCAGATTGTGGGCACCTCATGGGGCTTGCTTGGCAATGCTGCCCGGATGGTTTAGCAACCTCAGGGCTCACGGTTTCTGGGCTCACTCTTAAGTCTACTCCCCAGCTCTCACGGCCGCCAAGCCTCAACTTGTCCCTGTAGCAGCTTGCTGTATCTGTGGCTGATGTTACAGAGTCAGAAAGACTGCCCTTGTGGAGCACTACTCAGTGGCAGCTGACCCTATGGTCCTTCCCTGAACCTCAGTCCCTTTTGGCAAGTGGGCTGTGTGTGGAGGAAGGAGAGAGCTT